CACAAATGAACTTATTTACAAAACAGAAACAGACTCACAGACATAGAAAACCAACTTATGGTTACCAAGGGGGAAAGGGACAGGGAGGGGAAGGATGAATTGGGAGTTCATTCAGTATTTGTAGATACTAACTACTATATGTAAAACAGATTTAAAAAATAAGGTCCTACTTTATAGCACAGATAACTATATTCAATATCTTGTAATAGCCTATAAAGAAAAAATATGAAAAAATATATATGTAAATGTATAACTGAATCACTATGCTGTACGCTAGAAATTAACACAACATTGTAAATCAACTATACTTCTATGAAAAGAATACCTGAGATATGGTAACTGCTAAAAATTGGTAATTTCTTATTTTTACTAAAACATATGATGTTAAATCTTTATTCATACCATGTCGTTCTCAAAGGCATGTGTTTGCTTCCCAAAGGATGCATTGCTCCTTGAGGGGAGCAGTTTTAGAGATACATTAACTCTTTCAAGCCGCTGGGTTAAAATCAAGCGATAGCTTAGTGGCTTAGCTCACGGAGTTCCTGGCTGCACAGTTTTTATAAACTTCTGCACCACAGGCTGATGACATATGTAACCTTAGAAGAGCTCCACAACACATTTTTAAAACTATCTCCTTTTCATGGATGAACAACTCAGAAATTATTGTCTAAAATGAAAATTTAAGCATCTGTGTGCATTTTGGTATAGAATGACTTCTGTCACCAGGATTGATCAGAGGGATGTTAACGTGAAGGAAGGTGCTACATTTGATTTAGGATGTGTTAAATAGGCTTTTTATTAAAGTATTTGTAAAACACTTTTTTTTCCCCTAGGAATAATTCGAGTTTCACGCCAGCAGACACCGTGGCTATCATTTTCTGTTCCACACACAAATCCCTCACATTGGGTAAGTGATTTGCTGATTTTAAAACCAACTTAATATTACCCTCAGAGAATTACATCCTATGATTTTGATATTCAAACAACTGTTCAGATTATATGGAATGGGGTATTGTCCACTTTGTTACATAAAGAACAATAGCAAAGTATGAATGGGTCATTGCTCTGAAATATTGTTATTTGATTGAACCAATTTTTGAGGGCCTAAATTTAATAGTATAGGATTTAGCTTTATTTGTAATCATGTTTTCGATTCTCATAAAATGTCTTCAATGTAGAATGCTAATGTTAAAAGCTGGCAGAAGAATGGAGGGTGTGGTTGGGGGTTAGGAGGGTGCAATGAGCAAAAGCTTGGCTTTAGAAGGCTCCATAGTTACCTCTGGAAAATGTTAACTTATCTTCTGGAAGCATGGAGTAAGGTGGGAATAATGTGATTACTCTAATTTGATTTTGACATTAGTTTGAAGTTCATGTCAGAATGTTATTTCTCTAAAGAAGCAGTATAGTTATCATTAACTCAATCTGATTAGCCCCGAAAGTGAAGTGAGTATTTTAATGGACAAAAATAGATCCAAAAAAGTGCTATTTCCTACTTAGCTTTATCCAGTTTAGTGGCATGATCTCAATAACCCATCCAGACCTATCTGGAGTCCATGTTTTTAGTCATTAAAAGTCATTGAGTAATCAGATGCTCTATTGATGTATACATCATTCATCATTCACAGGCTCCTTGGGGTAGCAGGTACACGGTGGTAAAACTAATATTAAAAACGCATTTACATTTTGGTGTGTGACTAACTTTAGAGAATAAAAGATCATGACGTTCTCTGAGTCTGCTCATGTCAAAGTTCAGTCTGTAAACTGGAAAACGAAGACACGTCATAATGGTTTCACTAACCCCAAACACATCTGTCTGATAGAATCTGTCGTCAGTCTTGCAGAGTTGAGGAAATGATTTAGAAATTGGACAAATTCTTCAAGAAACAGTTGCTATGGAGGGCTTCCACTTACTTGAATAAATTACGCACATACTGTTCATCCACTGCGGTATGTCTGTTAGGTTTTCTTTGTAATCACCTCCAATTGAAGTTGAAAGAGCTTTGGAAGCCACATTCCAATCCTGATGTTGTGACCCTGGGCAAATCACTTAACCTCCCTGAACCTTGGCTTTCTCATGCTTTCTCATCTGTAAAATGGGGTGGATAATACTTGGTAAGCTATTGTAAAAATTAAAGATAAAATTTGTTAAGTACCTAGCACAGTACTTGTACATAATACAAGTCAGTACGTGACAGACTACGTGCAGCAATTGCACTGTGTATTTTTTTTTTTGAGTGGAGGCACTGGGGGTTGAATCCAGGACCCCATGCTCACTAAGTACGTGTTCTACCACTGGGCTGTACTCCCACCCCAGTTGCACTGTGTCTGGATTGCTGGGGGTGAAACGAGGTAGCCCACCCAGAGAGCTTGATGTGCTTCCTGGCACATGGCGGGCACACTTAGAGCAATGGCTGTTGTTATTAGTTATTAACTGTATTAGTTATGACCGTGTTACCATTTCCAAGGTTCCAGTCCCTTGACCCTGGAACATCTTGTAGATGTTCATGTAACAGTTGTGGTTTAATAATTGACCTCAAATCATCTCATACATTTTTCCCCATGTGGTTGTTGAAATGTGATGCCTGCTGCTTTAGGTCTCCTGAACAGTAAGGGGCCGTTATAAAGGCAGGGATTCCAGAGCCAGGCGCTGCCAGACTCCTGAGAGGTCGGGAGTCAGGGATCAAATGCACCTGTGTCCTTAGAGCAGGTGCTGTGCCCTAGCTACACCAAATACGCTTTTGCCTTTCTGCCTTTCAAACCCGCCCTGCCCCTAGAATGTGCTTTTGTCAGGAAAACCAAAATAAGTTCTGTTTGTTTGTTTCTCCATTATGTTTTTCTCTGCTGAGCTGGCGGTGTCGAACAAAGAGCTCAACCCAAGAAGTATACTGCAATGTGATGAGTATTCTTTTCTTTTCTATAAGCAGAATACCTCCCCTTTGGTCTTTTTTTACTTTGCATTTTTCTTAATCTCAAAGCCATATGCTTCTGTTCTCAATTCTTCCTAATTTTCAGGCAAACAGATGGGTGCTCTGAACACTAATCAAAAGTAGCTGTTTTGCTAAAAAGGATTGGGTTAACTCGGACTTTTGTCTGCGTTTGCACTTTGTTTCTGCAGCGTTCTCCCATGAAACAGATACTCAGATCCTCCAGTGAGATACTGATGTGTGGTATCTAAGTAACCAGGTTAGTGTAAATCCTTCCATATTTCCATAACATGGTAGATCCGGCCTCTCCTGGAACTGGAAGAGCAAACTGCTCATCCTGACTCTTCTACTGAGACAGCCCCAGGCCTCAGTTTCCTAAGCTCTTAGATGAGGAAATTTTATTCCAGCGAGGCGATTCTGTCATGCCTTGATCAGAACCAGCTTCCTTCCTGCAGTCTCCTAGTTAACATTTATAAAAATGATGTCCTCGCTGCTTCCTATCTCAGTGAGGTGCCATGGGTCACCCTCGTCCAGGAACACCCTTAGTTCTACATACAGCAAGGGGTGTTTGCATCTTATTGCTAGCATGGCCTTGTTAAGCCCTGTGCACTTACTGTATCAGTTTTCACAAAGTCCAATGCGTGTTTTCCTCTCCTGGTGACCTGACATCTCTGGTGCAGAGGATGTGCGTGGCAGTGACCTGAGCTCCAGGCTGATGATTATCCTAACAGGACTTCTCTGCTGCATGGCCGCGACAGAACATCCCACTAAGTATGAAGAATTCATATTTCAGAAAGCAGGGGGCACATTTCAGGGAATATCACTCAGAGTTATACTTTCCCTTACCTCTCACACCAACATGAAACACACAGCAGATTTTAATGTATCTATTTTGCATGTAGAGACTATATCTGTCCCTTTTGTGATCACTGTCAAAATATTTCTTCTAGTAATTTTACACACACACACACATCTTAAATAGAATACAGTAAGAATGCCTTATGAAATAATATGTATTATCACATCCAGTATTTGTATTTAAGAATAAATTATTGCTGGCAAAGTGGTACCCAGGTAACTAATGAACCAAAGACGAAAACTCTGGCCTGAGACGCCTCCTGGATACCCTCTTGTCCGTACACTTGTGGTTTATTTTATTGTTCTTGCTTTCGCCCTGTCTCAGTCTCTTCGGTGCGCTTGCATCTACACACATGCTGAATTTGATTCATGGCTTTTATTAGGGCATTTGCCATTGATTGATTAGTTCTTCGTATTAGTACTTTTTCTATTGATTGATTGCAGATGAAGTGACTATTTGACCTTTAATTATGAGGCTTCCTATTGAAAATGACATTGAGCTATGGCTTCACATAATCCATCTGGAAAGCCTGACATGATGCCACTCCCTGGAGTTCGTTCAGGAAGGAGGAGGAGGCCTGGAGGAAGTGCAGAGCTATCACTGGGCCTCGTCTGAACAAAACTACAGGGCTTGTGTGCTGCTCGCCTAGAGTTGCGACTCAGGGTCGGAGGTAATTATATCTTGTCCAGACAGCATCACTTGCTGTGGGTTGCCCTAAAAGCCATGAACTCTCCCAGATTATTCTCTAGTTGGATGGTGATACTCGTATAATAATGAGAAGGTATTTTACAGAGATAGGAGAACAGCTTGCACCTCGTTACTAATGGTTCAGTGCACGCCCAGTCGGGCTCATTGTGAAAAAAATTCCAGCCTTGGGTCATAATCCAAGGTTTGAATTATTAGTATTTCACTTTTTAAAAATCTTTTTCTCTTGAGTATTCGAGTCACTTTGCTTATCCAGAGTTCTAACATGCATAGAAAGCTTTCTCGTATTCCTAGAAAGAGAATGTTTAAGGATGTTTGAGATCCTTAAAGTGTATGTTTATAGTAGTTTTTCATGTTTTCAAATGGCAAGATTGAAAGCGTACACTCTTCGAGTGTGTCAGCTGACAGCTGGCAATCAATTGTGAGGTTCCCAGATGTTGCTTGTTTCCAAAGGCTTTTCCGAATTGGAAGAATGCTGTTTAAATTTTAAATAGCATGTCATGAGCAACGTTTATTAAAAGTCCACTATGGGCCTTACCATTTATAGACATTTGTACACAGAGACCAATCACAGCAGCTGTGCTGAATATTGAACTTCATTATGAGTCTGCACTTGCATTTACACAGCTGAGCGGTGACGAGAAACTGTGCATTAAGCAAGAACATAGCTTTTTGGTAGACGTGGGATTCTGGAAAGAGTGGAACAGATTGCCAACCTGATTATCACCAATGATTCTAGTCTGGATTCAAGTTCCAGTTCTCTCACCAAAAGCTGGAACAAACACTTAATTGCCATCAGCCTCAATTTCCAAATCTGTAAAATGAGAAGATGAACAAGTCGGGTCCCTGAGATTCCTTCCAGTTTTAGGCTTCTGTGAGCCTGGTGCGAAGTGATTGATGTTACCGTTAAGTTCCCCTGCTCTGTGCGAAAAGGAAAAGAGTTCTGGAAAGGAACAGCTATGTAAATAATGTTACAACATTACAAGAAAGGAGATAAGACTGTTACGTTTTCCTGAAGAGGTTCAAAAATATCTTCATCCTCTCTGAAGAGTTTCACGGGAGAAACAAAATATGAAAAGGATTTTGTTTTCCATTTTATTTAGAAGCTTTTCAAGAGAGCTAAAGGATTACCTGCAGCTTGGGCTGAAACGATTGCTTGACAGCATCCGGGTCATTTTCTCAAGGGGAAATGGAATTGAAATACAGCAGTTGGCATTTCTGTTTTTCTTTTCCCTGTAAAAGCTTCTTTGCGATTCTATTTGGCACACAAAGCCTATTATCTTAATAAAACTGCCCTACGATTGGGAAGCACTTTTTTAAACCCTTTAATTCACTAAGTCGTGTTACTTAAACAATCTCGAGTATTAGTAAGTCAGTAATTATGACCAAGAAATGAAAGCATAGAAAAAAGTGTTAAAT